CAGTAATGTCAAATAACAGAATAATCTGCAGTTACCAGGTCAGACACCTCTAGTACTCACTAACTATCACTTCTGTCCAGGAAGTTTTTATAAAATAAGCAGTTACTAAACCATAGATTAATTTATTTTCTGACACTTCAGATGTTCTTGATCAAGCACTCTTTACATTATAACATTCTAGCCTCTTTAGTGACAGCCATTCCTATAATTGCTGGGGTACATAGCCCGTATTTTGCTAATAAATCTTTCCTTCAGGGATCGTTTGAGTGTTCTTGTTGTGTAGCTGTTTGCTTTATAGTCAGTCACTCTCTCAAATTAGAGCATCAGCAAAATAAGAACAAGCAGATAAAGGAATAGTAGCCAGTTCCTGCTAAGCAGGAGCAGATGGTGGTTCTTCAGGAGTTCTCAGCTGCGTAGATCAGCCTGGGAGTCACAGGAGTACAAGGTGTCAGACACTGACTTGGGATTTGAAGAAGAGTGTTGGGTGGCTGCATGAGAGAGTTTGTGATTCATTCCAGGCAAACTGCCTGAAAACAAAAGATCGATATGATTAGTAGATACATCAATAATGTGATGTGTTAGGAAGAGAAATATCACAGCTTTTGTAGATGGAAATTGTAGTTTCCACGGCCCTTAAACTTCTTACGGGAATCAACTAGACACATTTTTAAGTGTCATCTATTATAATACACTTGAACTTCCAAAAAAGTTTTTGACAGTGTTCCTTTCCCTAGAGTATCTTCTGGAAATTAAGCCATCATGGAGTAGGATGGATTGATTATTCTGTTCATTAACCAGTTTCTGAAAGGTATAAACAGTGGCCTGTATTCAGATAGCTGGTAGGTGAGCAGTGAAATCACATAAGCATCAAAATTGTTTAACATATTTGTAAGTGGGTTGGAGAAGTAGTAATTTTTACAGCAGTGGAAAATTATTTTGATAATAAAAGATGGTCATAAAGAATGACAAAATGTCCTAAAGAATTAGGAAAGTTGAGTTAAGTTCTGTACTAGTAAGTTCAAAGTTGAATGAAGGAGAAAGCTGCCTTAGCCAGGAAAAAGTTGTTCTAGGTATTTCTGTGTGAACATTAGTGGTCACTGTTGCTCCAAAAATGGGTTAAAATTTCAGAAATGAGTAGGAAAGGAATATAAAATAAAGCAGAAAACATTCTATGAGAGTCAAAATATGTTGTATGCCCATATCTTGTATGTAGTGAAAGCTCTTCCATTGCCCTTACGGTTATTGATGTAGATGAAATGTCTAGCCAGTGTAAGCTCACATGAAGTGGCCTAGGTGGGCACAGGAGTGTGTTTTGGGGAAGGAGCATTTTGTCATTTCTTTATTTCTATGCTTTTCTCAATTCTTGGTCAGATAAAACACACTGGGTTAAAGCAGACTGGGTCCAGCAGCTGTGAGTGTTTGTCATCTTGCATTCTTGTGCCTCAGTCTCATTACTGGACATTGGTAAATACTATGTAGTACATACTTTTATGTTAAACCATTTCAGAGGGTAGCACAGGACTTTACTGCCTACAGCCCAGTTTGTAGGCAAGTGAGTAGGATTGCTGAAAGGCAGAAGCTCTCTTTGTAGGAGTGAGAGGAGCTGGAGGAGGACTGCACGCTTTGATTTCTCTGTCCTCCAGAAGTCTTCCATTGCAGCTGAAGTGCATCTTAGCTTCCTTAGCGAGTATATGTTAATATATCCAGTATATTAAAAGCAATAATTATAGCCTAGGAGATATTCATAAACATTTAAAAAGTGTTTGTGGGGAGTAGGGGAGAATGGTCATGGCTGAGAACATTCGAGGCACAGCGGTTTTACCTCCGTTTCAGTCAAGCTTTCAATTAAAGAAGTTCTAATTGTTAAAAATCTATATTGTATGTGTTTATAGACTTATCTTTTCATTTCTAAATAGCAAAATCACCAGGGTTTTGGCAGACATCTGAATCTCATTAGAAAATGTACAACCAAAGCAGCTTATGAGGAAAGAGGTTAATTTTAATTTTGGTAGATGCCTTAATATTAAATACTTGAAAACAGAGTATGCGTGTGTATGTGTGTTATTATATGTATACCAATATATTAAAAATGAAAATTTTTATATCTTAAGTTTACTTTTTTTGTTTTTATTTTTTGATACTAAAAAACCCTGTTGCTTTTTAAGCTGAACAGTAATTCTGAGCAAGGTCATTGATTTAGTACCATAAGAGATGCCTGTTTTTCTATTCTTGCATGACCTATTTGCTGAGTAGCTGGTACACACTGGAGCTTACTAGGCTATAGAAGAGCTGATCAGGAAATGTAAGATTCTACAAGTTGTAACATTCAGGCTAAAATGTGATAATTATAATTCTGACCTTTCACTCCATCAGTATTAGCTAAGCTCACTGGGAGAAAGTATTTTGTTTGGGAGAAAGTATTTTGAACGACTAAGTTGAACTGGAACAGTTATGTAACTCCATGTAAGCTTGAAATCAGGTTACTAAAGTTTGTCCTAGATGCTAAATTTGTCTTCTGGACTGTTCTCCTGGCACACAGCAGTTCTACTAGACTTTAGTTTTTCTTTCACCTATCAAGTTAGAACATAGTCATGGGTATATGCAGTGGCCTAATGAAATTCTTCAGTGGAAGAACTCCTTGTTCCTTCTGTTTTCTGTGTTGTACTCAGTTACTTATCCATGCAAGAAATTTCCCTGTTTTTTCTCTTTTTAAGTTTCTTTAAAGGTTTTGGCAGGCATTTGTTGAAGGCCTTTCAGAAAGCTGGAAGTTGGTATGCACGGGAGCATCTCAATGTTGGTTTTTTTCTTGCTGGTCTCTCTAAAGAAATCTATCTTCTTCCTGATATCTAATGTAAATCTCCCCTCTGTCAGTTTAAATCCATTCCCCCTTGTCCTTACCCTTCATGCCCTTGCCAAAATTCCCTCGCCAGCTTTCTTGTCAGCCCCTTTAGGCACTGGAAGCTGCTCTGAGGTCTCCCCAGAGCCCTCTCTTCTCCAGGCTGAAAAACCCCAGCTCTCTAAGCCTGTCTTCACAGGAAAGTTGCTCCAGCCCTCTGAGCATCTTCTTGGCCTCCTTGGGACTTGCTCTAACAGGTCCATGTCCTTTTTGTGTTGGGAGGCCCAACATAAGATTTGCTCTTATCTGCTCGACCTCTGATCCAGTTGTGATTTGAATTATCCTTTTACATACTCAAAACCCTCATCTTTTCCTACACGTTTGATTAGTTTTGGGTTGCTTTACTTTGGGTTACTTAAACAAATGCAGAACAATTCAGAGGCGTGAATAATCTGTGCTGCATCTCTTAAAAGTATTGGGTGGGCAAAGAGCATCTCCTCTCTTTCAATAAGGTTTAGTGGTTTGGCAGCTAATCAATCTTTAATCCATTTAATATATGTTGTGTTCTTACAATGCTTGGATGTTTTAATTGAAATGTTGCACAACGCTCAGTCCTTACTTACGTATCATTATCAGTGCTGTTATCTTGTCAACCAAATGTGTAATCTCCTCAGATGACATTTGTGAAGTTAATTAGACCACGTCGTGTTGGTTATTGTTTGTTAGTCTTTGATTTCCTATGAAGCCTTCCTACCTTGGTCTGTGTTTTGACTGAGCTTGAGGGAAACTAATTATTTAGAAACCACTCATAATGGAACTCATCCTTTAACCTTTAATAGCAACTGTTTTCTTTGCTATTTTGGTTTTCAGACTTCTTATAAGTCAATTGGTATACTGTGAGGATCTCCTTGGGGATCTCTCTTTTAAAAATCTTTACTTTTAGTTACTTTGGCTGTGTTTATAAATGGATAGCCTAAGCAGAGGCACTAAGTGTGTAGCAGGTAAGTAGCATCTTCTGTAGGGACATTCAGAGTAGGTGTTTGAGAACCCTTTAAAGATGAGTTTCTAGCAGCTGAACTTCCTTCCCCTGCTGGACCACTCTGGTGCTGACCACACACAAACTGCACACATTGTCACTGAGACACAAGTGTCATTGCTGTAAATGGGATTTGGAACCAACTGTGTCCCTGACCCCAAAACAACCTGTACACATGTTCTTCCTATTTATTCTGCTTATCATCCTTTTGGTGGCATGTATGAAGTTAGTGATCAATTTGTTTAATTATTATTATTACTGAGAGTGAAAAAACACTGTTAATACTGGATAGTATGCTTTATCTACTGCATGCCTTAATTTTGAGCTCTTAATTTAAAAGAGAGAGAAGAATAATGAATGAATAAATAGCTTTTCAATCCAGACAGTCCTTGTATGGATACCTAACTGGGAATGATGTCAAAGTCTATTGTGCTTTTTTCAAGTGTATTTTTAAAAGAGCTAGTTGCCTAGGTCAGTGCCTCTTTGAACAGAAGATTAATGAGCGTGCGTAGAGAAAAAGAGTAAGTTCAAAGTATGTAAGTGGGAAGTTCTTAATGGGCTATCAAAGGCAATGGCCAAATTGGAAACAATAGTAGAAAGAGAATGGAGAATTCCAGGCTTACTTGTGCTTGAATATGGGCTGCTTCTGCTCAAAGCACCTTCCTCTTATTTGCTGGTCCTCCCAGAAGTACAGCTGGTAAGCCTCTCTGAGGATGCAATACCTTGCATATTTCGTTAGTAGAGTTGCTTCCTGTTAATGCTCTGAGAACTGCATCTTAAGTCTGTGCGCAACACAGTCACCCAGTACAGAATATTGTGCATTGGTGCTCTGTTGCAAGCCATGTTTATTTACACATGGTATCTTTCAGCCTTTCTAAAACATTTAGGCTTGACTACCCAAGCATGGATTTGCAGCTACTGCCAGCAAATGTTTTGTTTGAAAGTTGTGACTTTAAATGCAGAATGAAACACTTTGTTTTGTTTTGTTTTTGTTTTGTTTGTTCTTCCTCCTTTCTAATAACCTTTAGGAGTATGAAAACCTTTGTCACTTGTTTTAAATATCCTTATGACGAGTCCTTGTAAGCCTGGATGTGTTTATAGTAAATATTATACTGTGTTTGTCACCAGGGAGATTGCTGCTATGAACTGGAGATTCAGCCTCACTTACGTATTGAAGATGTTAATGTTCAAAGGAATAAAAGTCATCCCTTCATGACCAATGCCACATTTGATCAGAAGGCATGCTCATCTAGAAAAGAAGTGGCACACAGATCAAAAGTAAAACCATTTTTACCTGATACAGATGACTGTGATAGTGAATTCTTCACCACATTTAAAGTAACAAAACCAAAGACTCCAAAAGAAACTTCCGGATCTAATCTGGAAGTACCTGTGTTGCCTACAGATACTAACAGTTCCACTTCTTACTCAGCAGGAAATGTTGACCAGGGCAGTCAAGAGGACGAGGAACTAGAGGTGACATTTGACTTAAATGGATTTATTGACTTATGTGACAGCAGTGACAGTACTGTAATTGATGAAAGTGCAGCAGTGAAGGAAAACAAAACTCTGGATAAAGCTTGTAGTTCACTGGGAACAAACCACACAGATCTGGGTTATAGTAGCTTTACAGCCGAGAAATCACCTGTGTCCTCTGACTTATTTTATCTTCCTGAATCCTATGTGGATTCATTTGCTCTTGTGAGACCCCTTGAGGAGCCTTCTTGTTTAAAACAAGTATTATCCCATCTGAAAAGGCTTTTATCACAATCTCCTCCCTCATTGAATAAAGTTTATGATTTTGAAAACATGATGAGAAATGAAGAAATAATATGTCCATTTGAAAAAGTTATTTCTGATGGTTGTTCAGAGAGACGACAGGACAAAGTCTTTCCTGCACACTCAGATGCTGATTGTTCACTGCTGCTCCTTGAAAATTCTGAAGAGAGGGTCACCAGTGAATTGCGTGGTTCTTTAAGTACTTGTTTTCCAAAAACTGTCTCATCTTCTGAGACCGCTGTTGTTAAAGCCAAAGAGGAACTTCACTGGGATAACAGCTTTGATAGTCTGTTTGACAATGAAGAATTCACTGAAATTCAAGAGAATCAGTATATTGCTCAAAAAGAGGATATTAAACTTGACAAGAAAGAAGCGGTAATGGGTGAAGAGAACAGTATACATTTATTTGAAGATGAACACCTTTATGACACAAATATTGGAAGTTTTTCTACAAGCAATAAGCATTTAGGCAGGTCAAATTCAGGTGAGAGTGCTATTGGGCCAGTTGCAGAGCAGGGCTCTGAGTGGTTTCCTTCCAAGGTGTGCTGCAGCAACACTGATATAACCTGTGAGGAGCAGCCAAGAAGCAGTAAAACCACAGCCATGGAAATGGCAGGTGGTGTTAGTGTGAGCGAGCAGTCTCTGGATAACGATGATCTTTATGACTGTTCTCAAGAACTGTTTTCTGTTAATTTTGATTTGGGATTTTCCATTGAAGAGTGTGAGAATGAAATCTTTGAAGAAGATACAGATACTAATAATACCAGAAAATCAAATGGTGCCTTGGGGAGTCATACAGATGTTAAATCCACTGAAGATAAAAAGAAGTTACTGAATGATCACTCCAAACTTGAAACATCACCAGAATGGGATCGCAAAGGTCTTGAGAAAAGAAATGCTTCCACACCGTTGCCATTCCAGAGCAGGAGCGTGAATGGCAGAGAAGGAGCTGGGGGTGCTTCTGCTGCAGTGCCTTTCCTGGAGTCAGGAGGTGGAAGAACAAGAAGTGGATCACCCAAAGCTTCGACTCCTGCATTTTCTACCCCAACAAGTAGAAAGGTTGTGAATTTTAAAGCTAACAGAAGAATTCCTATGAATGTCTTCTCTAGTGCCAGGGAGGAAATCACAGAGGGGCCTCTTACAGATAAAGTAAATAAAAGCCCATGCAGGCAGAACTTTGGGAGTTCAGCTGTGGATGAACTTCATTCCCTTTTGGGAAGAACTGAAAACCTGGACCACACCAACATTCCTAGTTCACTTGTGTCTCCTGCTG